TTTTTTATCAATTAAATTAAACAAAATCAATAATAAATATATACTTATATACAAATTTTATGTAATATGTTTAAATAAAATCAATAATAAATATATACTTATATACAAATTTGATATAATATGTTTATATAAAATTTTAACTATTTATTTTTTTATTTTTAATTCCTTGAGATTTATTTATTTATTATTATTGTTAATAAATTTGACTCTACTTCGGCGCAGGATTATGCTATTTCAAAAAATTTATCAGCAGATACATTAAGCCTCTGTTCACTGGGCAACCAGTAAAGTGAAGAAAAAGCTACTGCACTTAATTCAAATGAATCAAACAGTGCACATAAGTTCCTGATAATCCAATCTCTTCCTCATCAATTGAAATTTTTTTAAAGAAATTAACAACATTAACAGAACTTGACGTGCTTTAACAGTTTATCTTATTTTCAATGCCATACGTTCCGTGCATTATCACATATTAGTACAGTCTTAAGCGTCCATGGCGTTTTTTCATTCACAAGATCGTCAAAACCAGAAATTTCAAAAACTACATTGTAAAAGAACTGCGATCAAGCCAGAAATTAGTCAAAAGTAATATATGAAAACAGAGAAGAGAAAAGGGGCAGAAAGGAAAAAGTGAGAGAGAGAGAGAGAGATGATAGTGCAGTGGAAGGGTTTTGGGCGGTGAAAGGCTCGAGACAGATACTGCAAGCGTCCTCGAAGGCATCATCGGGAGCTGCGGCGGAAGAAGACGACGGAGCTGAAGATGCAACTGGTTTCTGGAGGAGGGAGCATGGTGGAGGAGATGAAGAGGATGATGAAGAAGGAGAAGTGAGATCCGCCATGGGAATGAGGTAGGTAAGAATCGTAAGATTGATAGGGGAGAGGAGAAGAGAAAAGGAAGGAGGAGAATGTGAAGAGAGACAGAGGAGGGAACCCCAAGCGGAGCGTGGAGAGGAGAAAGGTAGAGTAAATAAATAGTCAAAGAAAACGAGTGTTTTTGGTTAAAAATATAGGTTAAAAAAATATTTAATATTAAGTTTTATAATATAAATAAAATTTAATATTCACGAGCAGGTTGATGAGTTAGTAAAGGCTCTTTTAATTTAATTAAAAATTTTGATTTCAAGATCTGAAAATGCAATTTCATTAAAAGACCTGTAAATGCAGTTCCATTAAAATTCCTAAGAGTTTGTCACTCGTTAAGTCCTTCTCGATTTGAATCCGAATTAATCTGTGATTTAGTGGGCTTTCGGATAGCAAGTGGTTTAAACAAAAAAAAACATAAAAATAAAATTTAATTTTAATTTTAATAATTAATTAATTAAATTGAGTTACATGTTATTAATGTTAAAATTAATATTAATTATATATATATTAAT